TCCCACTAATGCCCCCAACCAAAGTTGCTGCAGAGTATTTGTCTTTGCCTTCATTATTGCAGGGCTGAGTCTGGATCTCTGAACTTCAGTTGTGGCAAGCAGTGTGATGAGCCTGCCAGTACCATATTCCAAAATATTATGCTAACACTAGATTCAAACAGTTTGTAAAACACTGCCAAAATAAGCTGGGCAGATTTTGCTCAGTCTTTATCCTAGCAGGAAGAAAGTTTTCTGCTTGCTTTCAGTTAAGAACAAATCTGTTGTGTTTTGTTTGGAAGGGGCTTAGGAGGAGGGACAGGGGATCAGCTGCATCCCTGAACTGCATTTATTCTAGTCATTCTTCATGATGAAATGTAAGACAGTGACAGGGAAGTATTCAGACATCACACCCAACTTGGATGTGGCTTTGATGAAAACTAGAATTACAGTGCTCTGTCCTGAGCAAAACCTAACTTCAGAAGGCTGAACCGTGAGAAAGGTAACCACTGTGCTATGTGTAGGAAGGGTTAATCGAAAAATCATGAGGCTCAAATAGCAAATAAATCAGACAATTCATCTAATAGCATAATTAACTGTCACACTTCTCTGCAAAATAGATGGTAGTGAACAGAATTACTTGTACCTGATTCAGCTTTTAGCTGCTGAAAAAGCATTAACATTCACCTCAATATTAAGCATTTTTGATAGCAAGAGACTGTCAAAGCGTAGATGCCTCTGCCTCATTTAGTCAGGAACATTATACGGCCCTGAGCCTAATGAATGTGCTCTGAAGAGTCACAATTCAATCATACATTATTCCAGTGTGAGGCAGCAATGCTCCTGTTAGCATCTGGAGTTACACTGGTATGAATGAGGTACGTTGGTTTCAGATTTTTGTTGCAATTCCACTTTTCCGTTTTATCATCCCAGATCTAGGGCTTCTCAAACTGTAGTTTGCAAGTGAAACTCTATCTCTTTTTCCTGCCTACCTAAGGTACGATTTTAGGGCTTGATGGTAATTGATTCACGCCATAGCTGCAGATCCATTAATATCACCCTAAGTGAGGGCTCGAAGGCAAGGCTGCAAGGGTTAAAGCTAGCCAAGGAATAGCAATCTAAGGGACTGCTAACTGCCTTTAATTACAAGCAATCACCCAGTTCCCTCAGGGCTGGGGAACTGTGAATTCTGCTGCATCCAGTAATTCCAGATAGTTTCAGCTTCTCTGCCTGGAAGAAGCAGAGATGCAGCTGATGGGGGAATGCTGCACTTCCAGAAAGCTTCAAAGACAGTGAACTAGATAGATATGTACAGAGATAAAATCATACAACCCCAGACTGGTTTGGGTTGGAAGGGACCCCAGAGTTCACCCGGTTTCAGCCCCCTGCCACAGGCAGGGACACCTTCCACTTCCTCCAAGCCCCATCCAGCCTGGCCTTGAGCACTGCCAGGGATGGGGCAGCCACAGCTTCTCTGGGCACCCTGTGCCAGCGCCTCAGCACCCTCACAGGGAAGAACTTCTGCCTAAGAGCTCATCTCTATCTCCCCTCTGTCAGGTTAAAGCCATTCCCCTTGTCCTGTCCCTGCAGGCCCTTGTCCAAAGCCCCTCTCCAGGTTTCTTGTAGCCCCTTTAGGCACTGGAGCTGCTCTACGGTCTCTCCTTAAGGAGCCTTCTCTTCTCCAGGCTGAACCAGCCCAGCTCCCTCAGCCTGGCTCCAGAGCAGAGCTGCTCCAGCCCTCTGAAGTCAGGGTGAGATTGCTGGCTTTGCTCAGTCTGGTGTATAGCTATATATACATACACACAAAGATACATACAAAGATTAATATATTGAGACTTCTGCTGCATTTCCTGCATTCTAACAATGTGTTCAGTTTCGGACTGCCACCAGAACTAGGCAGACTATGGAGAATTCCAAGCAGGAATTTTAGGAGAAAGCATTTATAGCTTTTTGTCTCAGATAACTTGAAACCAATTACAAAAGTGACAGTAAAATCATCAGCGCAAAAAAGATGCAGCTGATGAAGTTGGTGGAAAAGGTGCTGTGCATTTAAACTTTAAGTGAATCAAGCCAACAGTTTCATTAAAAGCTCTGGCAAGAAGTGTTCTGTCAAATACTATCAACTAATATCACCACCAACACAAGTGATTACCTCTTTAGCAGTGTGTCCTTTTAGACCCTGAGTTGCTCATTTTTTGTGAAGGCAGATATAAGCAAACTTGCAGAAACCTTCAACTTGGGAGCTTACCAAAATGAGAACATTTCCATGCTGATGCCGCTTGTCATTACTTAAACCATGGTGCTGCAATAGCTCCGTAAAAATTCCTATTACTGTACATGAAAGTTTAGGAAGGAGGCATGAGAAAGGAGTGATGGTTAAGAAAACAGGAGCTATATAAATTGTTTCAGCAAAAAGAATGTGGAGAACTTGAAAACTCCAGTATAAAAGAGGTGAGGTGTGAGTAGTAGTCCACACAATTAGTTAGTGAAAATCAAAACACTGAGGATTAAAACAGAACTGGCTTTCTGATCTTTGCCTTTTTCACCTGGAAACATCCAGTGATGTTAAAATTGACCATGTTGAGACATGAAGCCTCTCTACAACATTCGCACAGCTTCCTGCTCCAGGTTCACATCTTCAGGGGGGGAGAGATAGCAAATCCACCTGCACAAAAAAACGAGCGCCTCTTTTCCTCCTTTTACACAAACCTGAAAACAAAAAACATGTGCGTGTGCACACAGAGCAAAAAACAAAACGAAAGGGGGGGGGGGGGGGAGGCAAAGTGTCCCAAACCAGTCAGGAAGGGTTTTGGGTGGAGAAGGGACAGGGGAGAAAAGTGGGGATGGTGGGGGAGGCAGTGTGGAAAACCCCACGAACTAGAAGAGGGGGGAAAAAGGGACCCCTTCCATCTCTGGGGGAGGGGGGAAGTGGAAAAAAATACGGATAAAATCCAGCAACATATAAACAAAATAATAATAAACTATGGTGGAGTGTGGAGGAGAGGAGAAAAAAGGCAGGGTAGGAAAACTGGAAAAAAGAGAGCCCCCACCAACTGGTAGAGATAAAAAGGTGGGGGGGAGGGAGAAAAAGGGGGTTAAAAATGGAGAGGAAAAAAGAAGTGGAAAAAAACCCTGGAAAAAAAAGAACCCGGAAAAAAAAAAAAAAAACAAGGGGGGGAGGGTGGGAACCCGAAGAAACAGAAACTCCACCCAAAACCCTACGGCAGCTTGGAGCAAAATCCCAGCCAAAATAAAAAGGGGGGGGTGAATAACCCCAACACTGTGGGGAAGAAATCAACCAACCGGGGGGGGGGGGAAGGTGGGGAGGGGGAAATTTCGGCGGGAGAAGGGACGGGGGAGAAAAGTGGGAGGGGAGACAGGGGATGGGCTGTGTGGAAAAACCTCACCAACCAGAAGAGAGGAGGGGGGGCGGTGTGAGTGGATAAAATACACTGATAAAAAATATAGATAAAATCCAGCAAAATATAAATAATCGTAATAAAAAATGGAAAAAAGGAACAAAGAAAAAACAAAAAGCAAAAAATATTTGGGGGTAAGAAACACCAGAAAAAAAACCCTCAAAACTTAACAATCCCAGAAACCCAACAAAAACCACACCACCTGCCCCCCCCAAAAAACACCCAAAACAAACAAAAAGCACTAAACTGGGGAAACCCAGCAAAAGAAAAGGAAGGGGGGGGGGGAGGTGAAGTGTGGAGGGGAGGAAAAAAAGGCAGGGGGGGAAACTGGAAAAAAAGAACCCCCCGCAACAACCGGTGGAGAGAAAAAAATGGTAGTGGGGGGGAGGGGAAAGAACTCGGGGGGGGGGGTAAAAATGTTGAACAGAAAAAGGTGGAGAAAAAATCCAGGAAAAAAAAGGAACATGGAAAAAAGAAAAAACCCAACCAAACAAAAACTGCACCCAAAGCCCCACACCAACTTGGGGAGAAAAACCCAGCCAGGAAACAGTGGGAGAGAGAAAGGGAGGAGGAGTAAAATGCGGGGGGGGGGAAGTCTGGGAAAAAAGCGTGGAACAAAAAACACTATGGAAAAGAACTGGGGGTGGGGAACGGAAGGAAAAAAATCCCCGAACAACTCTGGAGGGAGAGAGAAAAGAGAAACCTGTGGGGAAAATATAATTTAAAAAAGGGGGGTGGGGGGGAGGTGGAAACGGAAGCAGGAGGGGAACTGGAAGGGGGAAAACGTGGGGATAAAATAACCGTGGGGTTAACGAAAAACATGGGGAAAAAACCTAGGGAGAAAAAAAAGAGAGGGGCTGCCACCCAAATGGATTGCCCTGTTGCTGGCACTGTTGCAGAGAGCGCCATTTGTAGGTGATGCCCAGCACCGTCTCTCTGTCCTGGCACCTTAGGCTTAGCGTCAGAGTCTGGACATTCACGCTCAGGGAGCTGGTGTCTCGATCACTGAATAGTGGTGTCCAGTGAGGCTTTAGAGATGGAGTTTGATGCGAGTTAAGTAAGTGAGGATATCCATGTTGGTGGCACCCTTCCAGAGGGCTCTCTGTGTAGAACGTGTCCAGCTATTTGTTTCTGTCTTAAGGCGTGAGGCTTAGGAGCAGGGTCTGGATATTGGCACATAGGGACCTGGTTTATGGGGTGTCTGAGAGTGCTGCCCTGTGTGGTTTAGGTGGCTAAGCAAAGGCGGATTTCCATGTTGGTGTCAGTGGTGAGGAAGGCACCATGTTTACGTGATGCCAAGCACCAGCTTTCTGTTTCTTATGGTATGCTGAGCATCATAATTTGGATGTTTGCACTTTGGGAGATGTTTTGTTGATCATCAGAGAGTGCTGTTCAGTGAGGCTTTACAGGGAGGGGGTTTTACGTGTGTAAGTAAGTGACGATATCCATGTTGGTAGCACTGTTCCAGAGGACTCCCTGTGTAGAACATGTCCAGTTACTTGTTTCTGTTCTAACACGTTAGCCTTGGGAGCAGGATCTGGACATTTCCACTTAGGGAGCTTGGCTCTGTGGCACTTGAGAGTGCACTGGGTAGGCAGCACACAGATGCACTTCTATGTGGCTAAGCAAGGCTGGATTCCCACGTTGGTGGCCCTGTTCCCAAGGTATACCTGTGTAGGTGATGTGCAGCGTGAGCTTTCTGTCCTGGCACACCGTGTGTCCATGATCCAGGCCACCTGTCTGCATTCAGCAGAGGGGCAGAACGCAGATGGTGCTTTTGGTGGCAAACAAGGTCTCTTTGCCGTGTTGGCGGCACCCTTCTGCAGGTTTCCCTGTTTAGGTGATGCTCAGCGACTGCTTTCTGTCCTGGTGCTACGTGCTTGGGAACAGCAGCTGGATGTTGGCACTGTGGAGCCGTGCTCCAGCACACCAAAGTGATGCAGCAGAGGGTCAGTACGGCAGTGGTGTTTAAGGTGGCAAGGCAAGGGCAGATTGCCGTGTTGGGGGCACCTTTCTGGAGGTCTCCATGTGTAGGAATGAAGTTGATATTTCCATTACTCCTCATAAACCCCAGTGGATTATTTTCGGTGGGCTTCAGCTACAGAATGAGCAGTGAGAAGAGTGGGAGCAGGGTGCTCACAAGTGGGCTTTGTTACCCTTAGCAGGCACCAGAAGGTTCTCTGAAGCTGCTGATTGTTCTGGGAGAGTTGGGCTTGGAGAGGAAGGTGTGCAGGGAGCTGGGTTCATTTAATTGTGTTTTTTTCTGAGAGGAAAACTGTGAGTTGAATTTGTCTTTCCTTTGGGAAGAAAGGAGTTTTTGTTTTGTTGGAGTGCTGGGGTCTGCTGATGTACATGGGCTTCTCTTTGGCTTCTCCACTTGCTGCCTTGAGCCCTCTGTGTGCTTATGAGGGAGAGTTTAGTGCTGCCTTCTTCCTTGAGGTCTAAGAACAACAGCCCGGCAGAGAAAGGAAAAGTGCAAGGAATTTGCTTGCTGCCCTTAGAGTGGTATGCAGAAAGAATGTTGGCTCTTTTCTGAAGGTGTTAAACCTATGAAGAATTAGTTTGACCTGGCATGAAGGGAACGGTGGAATAAGGTGTGGATACTGTCCTGGATTTGGCTGGGCCAGAATTGATTCTCTTCCTTACGGCTGGCGCAGTGCTGTGTACTGCCTTGGTTCTGGGAACATGCTCTTAGCACACTGCTGTTTTAGCTGTTACTGAGTAGCACTTCGGCTGAGCAAGGACTTTCCAGTCTCTCCTGCTGTGCGAGTGAGGAGGGGCAGGGGAATCCTGGAGGAAAGCAGAGCCAGGACACCTGGTACATAAAGTGGGGGGAGTCAGCCGGAAGGCGCAGGTCGCCCCTCGGGTCAGGCTGGATACGCTGAGCGGGTGCTGAGCAGTTGCGTTGTGCATCACTGCTGGTTCGCGTTTCCCTTTTCCCTGTCTAGTTCTAGAGGAGCAAAGTTTGTTGGAGAGCTGGGATGAGCTGTTGCTAGTGATGAGATTTGAGCTTTTGTCTTGTTGCTGCAGGTTTGTTTTTGAACTTCTTGCCCTGATTTTGTTCTTGGGGCTGAGGGAGCGGGGAGCGGCCGAGGGGAGCGGCCGAGGGGACCGGCGGGGCTGGGGGACCGGGGAGCCGCTGCGGGCCCGGCGGGCTCTGGCGGTGCTGCGGGTGCGGCTGTGCCGAGGGCGAGGCGGGGCCGGGGCCGGCGGGCAGCGCTGGCTGAAGCCGGTCCCGTGCCGGGCGGCGCGCGGGCCGGTGTCGCTTCCCCAGCGCGGGCCGACGGGGCCGGGCGTTGCCTGGCGGCCGGTGGAGCGAGAGCGGCCGGTGCGTCCGTTGTCGGGGAGCGCCATGGAGGGCCAGCGGCTGCCCGGCGCTGTCAACCCCAGCCACTTCCCGGCCAAGCTCTGGCAGCTGGTGAACAGCCCGCGCTGCGGCTCCGTGCGCTGGGATGCCCGTGGCGAGGGGCTGCTCATCGACCAGCGGCTCTTCGAGCGAGAGCTGCTGGGCGCGGAGGCGGCCGGAGACGGGGTGGTGCTGGCCGCCGAGTTCTTTAAGACGAAGAACTTCGGCAGCATCATCCGACAGCTGAACCTGTACGGGTTCCACAAGCTGGGGACGGGGTCCGGGCCCCTGCAGGACCCGGCGGGGGGCGATTGCGGCAGCGCCCCCGGGGCCCTGCTCCACTTCTACAGCCCCCATTTCCGCCGCGACCGCCCCGAGCTCCTCGTGCGTCTCAAGCGCCGGACGAGCGCCAACAAAGCGAAGCTGGCGGCCGGGCTGGAGCTGCCCAGCCGCCCGGCCCAGCTCTCCCAGTGCTCGCCCTCGATGCTCGTCGAGGCTGCCAGACCCGGTGAGCTGGGGTGGCCCCGGGCTGCGGGCCGAGAAGCACTGGGTGCTCTGGGGTTTGGCGATCAGCACCCCCGCACGGAGCAGGGTTGCCTGACCTTGCTGGCGGCCGCTCAGCTCCGCCGGTGCGGGAAAGCCGTTGTTGTTCGTGCAGGGAGATGCGGTGCCAGCAGGCACGGGGAGCGAGGTTTGCGGGTGGTTTGCTCTGCCCCTCGGCTGCAAGACAGCCTCTGTCGGGGGCTGCAGTAAGAGCACCCTCACCCTGTCTCTGTGGAGCTGGCACAGCCCTACCAGATGACCGTTACTTCTCCTTGAAGGGTTGCTCCATAAGCTGTCGTTAAATCTGTGTGAAGCGATGGGTAACCGACCGTATGAGGGCAAGGACCATTCCATGGAAACCATAACTGACTGAGAGAGGAAACCAGGGAAACTAAAGGGAATATCTTGGAAGTAACAAAAAGGCAAAGTCTGAGTGTTTAGGTTGAGCTACCTGGGAAAAAGCTGGCTTTGGTTTTGTTTTCCTTGACAAGCTGAATGACTTGTCATCAAGTGCTCTCAGAGTCACGTGTAGGATTTGGACATTGCCCTTGCCTTGGCTGCCCGTGTGCTGTCAGCACTGGAGTTTGGTAGAGCCCTGCTTCACCATTCCCCCTTCATTTTACCTTACTGCTTGCGCCGGTTTAGTCAGCTCCTGCCCATTTTGATTTGTAATAGCACATTTCTGAGCAGCGATCACTTGCTCCTGAGGGTTTCAGGAGGCTGAGTGCTCCAGAGATGTCTGTGTGTTGGCGCAGCACTGATGTTCCTGTGTGTTCAGAGGGTGGTAGTGCTACAGCAGTTAGTCTATGTTTAGGTGTAATAATAGAGTCTGTTTCTGGATTAAGAATATTGGAGCAAAGGTGGTCTTCCCAGGCAACGTTGTGGAGCCTTGGCTCTCATCCTGCCTTTCAGGGCTAGTGAAACCTCTTCTCCCTGCAGTCCTTGTTTCCCTTTGTTTTGCAGGACTGGTGACTTCAGGAGAGGCTCCACAACCTTGTCCAGACAGCTGCTTTCCTTCCTCCAACAGAGCGGCCTCATGCCAGAACCACCCTGCTTTCCAGGCAACAACTTCCCAGCAGCCTCCGGCCCCTTCCAGACCATGGCAGGGTTCTGTTGGGTCGCTGCCAGGGCACTGGGCTTCCCCAGCTTTCCCAGGCCAGGGGGCTCCCGTTCCCGTTGTCCTCAAGAGTTGCACCGAGGTCACGTACACTCTCCAGACCGTGTGCTCCCTTCTGCCACCTCAGCAATGGGCTCCAGCTGGTGCTGCCCCTCCAGAACCCGGCAGCTGCGCGTCTCCAGGGCAGTGCTTACAAGGCCGGGATCCAGACGTACGGCAAGCTCCACTTGCTGCTCCAGAAGTTCCTGCAAAGTGGTGCATGAAATGTTTTTCCCCAGTGCTCTGCCACTGCGTGTGTATCTGACGTGTGTGCTTGCAGTGAGATGTGTGTTCCCTGTCCGTTACTTGCTACCAGCCGGTGACAGAATGTGCTTTAGCTGCTCATTTCTTCTGGCTCTGATGAGATGAACTGTATCAGAGACAGAAGAGCTTAGAAATGCCTTCTCTGCAATGAGCAGGGAAGGACAAAAGTGTGTGGGTGAAGCAGGTGTGTGTGGAATCTTGATTCAGCTGGAAGAGCTGAATTGGCCCCTTTGCCGGCCGAGCCCATCAGTGGGATTTCCACAGGTGCATTTTTTCTTGCTGTTAGATCAGGCACTGCTGCAGGTGGCAAAAAACCCCAAGAAAAGGTGTTGTGAGTGCAAAGCATTCCTTTTGTGCACTGTTCCGCACTTCAGACCCATTCAGAGTTGGTTACCTGTCTGGGCTGCTACACGGTTATGTTTGTTCTCCTCCCCTTGATGTACAGGCATTACAGCACGTTTGATTCATGAGCTGCTTTCAGTATAAGCTCTACTAAGTGCAAGAGTTGTGCAATTTCTAGTTTACTTGTGGCTTTCTATAGCCTGTGATCTGGACTTTGTGTTTTATACTTGCCTCCTGTTTCACAAGTGCTTTTTCCCTTTGGGTTCTTCCTTTTCTTCTCATAGGAGCTAGGCTCTTTGTACTACGTGTTTGTTTCCTTAGGATCACTCCAGCAGGTTACAGCCAATCTCTCCTTTGCTCTCTCACCCTGTTTTTAGAGTAGCCCTTTAGGTTTCTTTGGTGGTTTTCTTGGGTTTGTCAACATGCTTTGGCGTTCCGAGGGACTGAGGCCCAGGTATCATGAGATTTTTGGCACATTGCAGAACTGTAATATGTTTGCAGGTCACAGAGTGTTCTTCTGAAAGATGTCCAGATTTCATCCTAAGGTTGCTCACAAGAAGCTTTGGAAGTAACAGGAGTCAGACACGTGTCTCGTGCTGCTGTGGAAGGATGTCCACGAGCTCGCTCCATGTTATTTAGCTCTTGTGTTTGTTGCTCCAAACTGGACAAAAGTTCCTTCATTTTGTATGAAAAAGGGGAATTGGTATAGGGATTAAAATCCATATTGGTTATCTTAGCAACTGTCTCGTGAGGAATCCCGCGTAGGTGTCAGGCATTGCAAAGAAACGGGTCTGATCACGTGGCCGTCTCAAGTCACACTTGTACCATTTAATTACTGTGAACATTGGCCAAGATTTGATTTCATCAAGGATTTCTCTCTCGCCCAGAAGGACAGCAGATTTTACAGATTGTCTGTCCTGCCAGTAGTGCCTTTCCTTGTAAGTTCTGTCTGGGTTTCACCAGAACCTGAGACCCGCAGAAACTGCTTCATCTACAGAGCTGCTTTTTGGAATAAGATCCCATTTTCATTCCAGTGTGTGTGTGTGAACATGCAGGTCCTTCCTGTGTGAATCCCCTTTCTGTGGTGTCTTGTGTTGAGACAGTCAAGCAGCCAAATCAAAAAGGTGATATTAAGACAGAGAAGAGTGAATATGAACATCCCGTGTGTGTGTGTGTGTTGGTTAATTCTACAATACGTATGTTTGAAATATGTCTACATACTTTAGGAGAAATATGTTTTAAGGTGGAGAAGTCAGTCTTACAATCAGTGGGGAGGTCATAATCCATTTCAGGGAGGTAGCTTACGGAGTGGTTACTGCAGTGTTTAATGCAAGTAAGCAATAGAACTGTGCACCCTGGGCAGCAGTTCTGGCAGTCTGATCCCTGTGTTTGAATTTTGCAGTCACCCTGCAGTGCTCACCCCCTGCCCAGGGAGGACCTCTGACTCTCAGCGGCAGTGCTGCAGCTGCGGCGTCCACCGACTGCGTCTTTGTGCAGGTGAGTGCAGCGCACAGAGAGCAGGGGGAAGGGAGGAGAGCCCACGCATGGACCGCAGGGTTCTGGGCTTGCGGCAGGAAGGAGAGAAGTTTGGCACTGGATCTGCTGTAGAAAGGGAAAGTAGCGTGGTTTGCCAATGCCCATTTCAAAGCACGGCTTTGAAACATGAAGGGGGCAGTGCTGTAACGCAGGTAAGGTTTCAGGGCAGCGGCATAGTGGGTGTCCTCATCGGCGGAGTGTTTTTTTTTCCTGTAAAAGTGTTACATTTGACTTCACCATAATTCGCTTTAGTTCCTGAGTCTCCATTTGTCTTTGAAGGAAGCCCTTGCCTGCACAAAATGGGATTCTTTAATGTTATGATACTGGGAATCAGCCCCTCTTCTGTGCCCCAGACAGCTTGTGGCAGTCTTGAGTTTCATTGGATGCATGAGAAGAACCAAGCTGGCTTTTGGAATTGGCCCCAGCTCAGAGCTGTCCTATCTAGGAGAGCTCCAGTGCTTCCTGTCAATGCTTGCTAAAATTCTGGTGGAAATTGCACCTCATTGTGTGGCCTGGCTTATCAAATAGCAAAAGAACCTCAGTAAAAATGACAGGGTTTCCTTGTGCATTCCAGCAGCATGGAGATCCTTCTTGTCCCCAGAGGGGATAAGCAAAGCAAACTCTGCTGTATGTGCTGAACAAGGGTTGGCCTGCACAGTCCTCAGAAGCAGTAAAATCCATCAGCCATGACTGAAAATGGTGGTGATTTTTTGATCTGGAAATTCCCTGTATTTTGTTTCTCACAGAGTCCTGAAGTGCAGCCACCTGCAGCTGAATGCCTGCCCTCTGACGGAGCACAGCACGCATCTGAGGATGAGGACAAGTTGCCGGAATTAAGTTACGAAGATGTGTTTCAGTTTTTCAGTGAGATGTATGCATCACGCAGCGCTGATGCGGTGACACTGAAGGCTGCAGAAAGCTGGAATGGAGAGCTGTTTGAAAGCTGCCACAATGCGGCCATAGGAAGCGCAGCTGCTGCTGACACGGCACAAGACTTTGTGACCACCCAGAGAGCCCCTGATGAACAGCGAGAAGAGCTGGATCACAACCCAGCTCAACCATCCAAAATGTTTGTTCTGGAAGGACTGTTTAGTGCAGAGCAAGTAAGTGCTAAATGGAGGTAAAACTCCCTGGGAAACTGTTGAGTGGTCTTTGGGTTTGTTTCATTTTTTTGTGTTTATTTAAAGGAGAATGGGAGTCTTAAATGCGGAAAGGTGACAGGAGAGCTGACTTTAGGAACTGAGGTGGAGAACAAAGCTGCAGAAGAGGCAGGGTCTCCTGCAAAGCCTCAGTGCAGGAAGAGAAGACGCAGCTCAGAGCAGGGTAAGATGCTACATTTTTTAGAGGTGGGCAAGACAGGTGCTCTGAAACTCTTTTCGGGAAGGGTAGATCACAAGAGCTGAGTTATTGTCTGCAGTGTAAGTACCTCCCCGGGCCTTCAGTTCAACTATTGCACTCGTACGAGCTCTTGGCGTACTTGCCCACACGCTTCTATACGTAAGCTGGTGCTGAGGACTCCTAGGTGGACAAGGGAATAAATTCTATGCGTCAATAAAAGCTGAAGATGTGGGAGTCGTGCCAGAGCCCCGCATGTCACAGTACACAGCACTGAGATGCAGGCTGTGGATATGTTTGCTGGAGGGTGACAATACCACAAAGGGAACACTGACTAATGAGGTGACTGTTGAAGTAAGAGGGGAAAACCCCACCATGCTGCCGAAGTGAGCGCACGAGTGCAACCTTTCTGGCTCAGATCACTAAAGAAGTTTCACACCAGCCTGCTGATACATGTGCTGCATCTGTGTGCACAGCACCTGTGTGCTGCAACACAGGAGAAAAACAGCCTCTGATTTTCAAGTCGCAGGCCGCCTTTGGCCGGATTTGACTGTCCCTGATGGCAGCAGAGTTGCTGTGCGTGCTGCCAGGTGAGCCACAGGCAGGGCCTGATAATTCCTCGGTGTTGTTTGCTTCCTAGATCGCCACGAGCCGGAAAGCGGAGCCTGGAAGCGGGGCTGCTTCTGGAGGGAGACACCAGAATGAGGAGCGTGGGAACAGGCGGAGCAGCTGCCGGCTGGTTCCCTCCTGCGAGTCCGGCAGCAGCGCTCGGTACAGAACTGGGGCCCGGGTTCAGGGTCACACCTCTTCTGTTCTGTTTCCTAACTGTGAAGTCATTGATAGCTTTATTCATCAATTTATCTGTTATTTATAGCTTTATTCCTAGATTTGTATCTTATTTATAGCCTTATTTATAAATTTATGTCTTATTTCTAGGTTTATTCCTAAATTTCTATCTTATTTTTAGCCTTATTTATAAATCTATGGCTTATTTATAGCTTTATTCCTACATTTCTAAATTATTTATAGCCTTATTTATAAATTTATAGTTAATTTATAGTTTATTCCTCAATTTATATCTTATTTATAGCTTTATTTAGAAATCTATACGTTATTTATAGGTTTAGTCTTAAATTTTTATCTCATTAATAGCCTTATTTATAAATTTATAGCTTATTTATAGCTTTATTCCTAAATTTGTCTCTTATTTATAGACTTGTAAATTTATATCTTATTTATAGACTTATTTATAAATTTCTTGCTTATTTATAGCTTTATTCCTAAATTTCTATCTTATTTATAGCCTTATTTATAAATTTATAGCTTATTTATAGCTTTATTCCTAGATTTGTCTCTTATTTATAGCCTTATAAATTTATATCTTATTTATAGCCTTATTTATATATTTATATCTTATTTATAGCTTTATTCCTAAATTTCTCTCTTATTTATAGCCTTATTTATATTTTTATAGCTTATTTATAGCTTTATTCCTAAATTTCTAGCTTATTTATAGCTTTATTCCTAAATTTCTTATTTATAGCCTTATAAATTTATATCTTATTTATAACCTTATTTATAAATTTATATCTTATTTATAGCTTTCTTCATAACTTTGTATGTTATTTACAGCTTTATTCGTAGTTCTGTTATTTATAGCTTTACCCATAAATTTATATATTATTTATAGATTTATTGCTAATTTTTTAACTTATTTGTAGCCTTATTTATAAATTTATAGCTTATTTATAGCTTAATTCCTAAATTTGTATCTTATTTTTAGCTTTATTTAGAAGTTTGTAGCTTATTTATAGCTTTATTTAGAACGTTATAGCTTATTTATAGCTTTATTCCTAAATTTGTATCTTATCTATAGCCTTATAAATTTATATATTATTTATAGCCTTATTTATAAATTCGTCTTATTTATAGCTTTATTCCTAAAGTTGTATCTTAATTTTTGCTTTATTTATAACTTTGCATTTTATTTATATCTTTATAAATTTATGTGTTATTTATATCTTTATTTATACATATCTATGCTATTTAGAGCTTTTTTCCTAAATTTATCTATAATTTATATCTTTATTCCTAAATTTCTATCTTATTTATAGCCTTATTTATACATTTATAGCTTATTTATAGCTTTATTCCTAAATTTGTATCTTATTTATAGCCTTATTTATAAATTTATAGCTTATGTATAGCTTTATTCATAAGTTTGTATTTTATTTGTAGCTTTATTTACAAATTTATTTGTTATTTATAGCTTTATTCCTAAATTTGTATCTTATTTATAGCCTTATTTAGAAATTTATTGCTTATTTCCAGCTATATTCATAATTTTGTGTTTTATTTATATCTTTATTTATAAATTTATGTGTTATTTATAGCTTTATTCCTACATTTATCTGTTATTTATAGCTTTATTCCTAAATTTCTATCTTATTTATAGCCTTATTTATAAATTTATAGCTTATTTATAGCTTTATTTCTAAATTCGTATCTTATTTATAGCCTTATTTATAAATTTATAGCTTATTTATAGCTTTATTCCTAAATTTCTATATTATTTATAGCCTTATTTATAAATTTATAGCTTATTTATAACTTTATTCCTAAATTTGTATCTTATTTATAGCTTTATTTACAAATTTATGTGTTATTTATAGCTTTATTCCTAAATTTCTATTTTATTTATAGCCTTATTTATAAATTTATAGCTTATTTATAGCTTTATTCCTAAATTTGTATATTTATAGCCTTATTTATAAATTTCTTGCTTATTTATAGCTTTATTCCTAAATTTGTATCTTATTTATAGCCTTATAAATTTATATCTTATTTATAGCCTTATTTATATATTTGTAGCATATTTATATCTTTATTCCTAAATTTCTCTTATTTATAGCCTTCTTTATATTTTTATAGCTTATTTATAGCTTTATTCCTAAATTTCTGTCTTATTTATAGCCTTATTTATAAATTTATTGCTTATTTATAGCTTTGTTCCTAAATTTCTCTCTTATTTATAGCCTTATTTATAAATTTATAGCTTATTTATAGCTTAATTCCTAAATTTGTATCTTATTTGTAGCTTTATTTAAAATTTATAGCTTGTTTATAGCTTTATTTAGAACTTTATAGCTTATTTATAGCTTTGTTCCTAAATCTGTATCTTATCTATAGCCTTATAAATTTATATGTTATTTATAGCCTTATTTATAAATTCATCTTATTTATAGCTTTATTCCTAAACTTGTATCTTAATTTTTCCTTTATTTATAACTTTGCATTTTATTTATATCTTTATAAATTTATGTGTTATTTATATCTTTATTTATAAACATCTATGCTATTTATAGCTTTTTTCCTAAATTTATCTATAATTTCTATCCTTATTTCTAAATTTCTATCTTATTTATAGCCTTATTTATAAATTTATAGCTTAATTATAGCTTAATTCCTAAATTTGTATCTGATTTGTAGCTTTATTTAAAATTTATAGCTTATTTATAGCTTTATTTAGAACTTTATAGCTTATTTATAGCTTTATTCCTAAATCTGTATCTTATCTATAGCCTTATAAATGTATATATTATTTATAGCCTTATTTATAAATTCATCTTATTTATAGCTTTATTCCTAAACTTGTATCTTAATTTTTCCTTTATTTATAACTTTGCATTTTATTTATATCTTTATAAATTTATGTGTTATTTATATCTTTATTTATAAATATCTATGCTATTTATAGCTTTTTTCCTAAATTTATCTATAATTTCTATCTTTATTTCTAAATTTCTATCTTATTTATAGCCTTATTTATAAATTTATAGCTTATTTATAGCTTTATTCCTAAATTTCTATCTTATTTATAGCCTTATTTATAAATTTATAGCTTATTTATAGCTTTATTCCTAAATCTGTATCTTATTTATGGCCTTATAAATTTATATATTATGTATAGCCTTATTTATAAATTCATTTTATAGCTTTATTCCTAAATTTGTATCTTAATTTTTGCTTTATTCATAACTTTGTATTTTATTTATATCTTTATAAATTGATGTGTTACTTATAGCTTTATTTATAAATATCTATGCTATTTATAGCTTTATTCCTAAATTTCTATCTTTATAGCCTTATTTACAAATTTATATGTTATTTGTAGCTTTATTCCAAAATTTGTATCTTTTTTATAAATGTATTGCTTATTTATAGCTTTATTCATAACTTTATGTTTGATTTATATCTTTATTTATAAATTTATGTGTTATTTATAGCTTTATTCCTAAATTTATCTGTTATTTATAGCTTTATTCCTTAATTTGTATGTTATTTAAAGACTTATTTAGAAATTCATAGCGTATTTATGGCTTTATTCCTAAATTTGTATCTTATTTAAAGCCTTATTTATAAATTTATAGTTTATTTATAGTTTTATTCCTAAATTTGTATCTTATTTATAGCCTTATAAATTTGTATCTTATTTATAGCTTTATTCATAACTTTGTATTTTATTTGTAGCTTTATTTATAAATTTATGTGTTATTTATAGCTTTATTTATAAATTTGTATGCTATTTATAGCTTTATTTAGAAATTTATATGTTATTTATAGCTTTATTTCTAGATTTGTTATTTATAGGTTTATTTCTAAATGTGTATCTTATTTATTGCGTTATTCATAAGTCTGTATCTTATTTCTAGGTTTATCAATTTATGTGTTATTTATAGCTTTATAAATTTATATGTTATTTCTAGCTTTAATCATAATTTTGTATGTTATTTAGAGCTTTATAAATGTATAAGTTATTCATAGCTTTAGTCATAATTTTGTGTCCTATTTAGAGCTTTATTCATAAATTTGTAGGGTATTTATAGCTTTATTTCTAAATTTGTGTGTTATTTATAGCCTTATTTATAAATTTATATCTTATTTATGGCTTTTTTCCTAAATTTGTATCTTATTTATAGCTGTATTTAGAAATGTATGTGTTATTTATAGCTTTATTTATAAATATCTATGCTATTTATAGCTTTATTTAGAAATTTATGTTATAGCTTTAGTCATAAATCTGTAGGTTATTAATAGCTTTTTTAATACATTTTTCTTTTTTTATAGCTTTATTTAGAAATGTATATGTTATTTATAGCATTAGTCATAAATTTGTATCTTATTTATAGCTTTATTTCTAAATTTGTGTCTTATTTATTGCTTTATTCATAAGTCTGTATCTTATTTAGAGGTTTATTCATCAATGTATGTGTTTATAATATAGCTTTATAAATTTATATGTTATTTCTAGCTTTAGTCATAATTTTGTATCTTATTTAGAGCTTTATTCCAAAAGTTGTATCTTATTTATAGCTTTATTCCTATCTTTGTGTATTATTTATAGCTTTATTTAGAAATGTGTGTGTTATTTAAGGCTTTATTGATAAATATCTATGTTATTTATAGCTTTATTTAGAAATTTATATGTTATAGCTTTTGTCATAAATTTGTATGTTATTAATAGCTTTATTTATAAAATTGTGTTATTTATAGCTTTATTTAGAAATTTATATGTTATATATAGCGTTAGTCATAAATTTGTATCTTATTTATAGCTTTATAAATCTGTATCTTATTATTTTATTCATAAGTTTGTATCTTCTTTATAGCTTTATTCATCAACCTATGTGTTATTTATAGCTTTATAAATTCATGTTATTTCTAGCTTTAGTCATAATTTTGTATCTTATTTATAGCTTTATAAATTTATAAGTTATTTCTAGCTTTAGTCATAATTTTGTATCTTATATAGAGCTTTATTCATACATTTATGTTATTTCTAGCTTTATATATAAACATCTATCTTACCTATAG